GGGGGGCGGGCCGGGGGCGAGGCAGCGCGCGGACTTCACAGTCCCAGCTGCACTCCAGCTCACTCTGGCTTCGGCGCTCGCCCGGACCCTACCTCGCGGCTAAGTCGGAAACATGAGCGACTCCAACTTCAGTTGGGGCGAGGAGTTTGATGAGCAGTTGTGGATGCAAGAATTAGGCGGAGACCCCCAGGAAGCTCCAGGAGAAAAAGCTGGACCTGCGGGGCAGCGGCAGGCTGACACCTTCAAGATGACTCTGCGCAAGAAAGCCCGGGTCCCCAAGGTACGGAGGGCGCGGGTGCCGCCGCCGCGGGCCACTCAGCCCGCCTGGCGGGGCACTGCGCTCAGGTTCTCCTTGCCGAGCCCCGTCCCGAGTTAGCGCGCCCGCCGCGGCTTGCGCCGCTTCTTTTTGTTGTGTCGGTTGCCTGCCCGCTGATGAAAAGCGGCATGAGTCTTTCGGGAGAAGTTTGCAAATGTCCTTCTTTAAGCCTTTTCTGTGCCTGATTTGAGCCACGAAGGTCCGAGGCGGTTCTGAGCGTCAAACTTAACCGAACTCACTGCCCGGCGAGTCCGTTCTGACTTCGAGCGACTCTATAGGTTATTGCCTGGGCGACCGACCGCTTTTTTTTTTTTCTTACAAAGAGGAGAAACGCCAAAAACAAATTGAGGAGCGGTTGATCTCGGTTTGCCGATCGCACTTTTCCTGGGAATTCAGAGGTGGAGTGTGCGAACGATGTGCAAAATGCGCCTTCTTGAGTCAACTGCAGGGGGCGGCGGGACGCGCGCGCGGCGTGTAAGGGGCGGGGGGCGCAGCTAATTTTTTAAACTGAATGAACTTCATGCCTCTCTTTACCACACAGCCACAAGTATATGAGTAGAGATGCACGAGATGTAGACGGAAGCGATCCGTGGATATTTGTTGGAAGTACTTGGAAACTGGGAGGTGTTTTTATTTCAGGTTAGATGGAAAAAACAACTCGTGTTAAACTGGGTTCTCTCAGCACGGCGGTCAAAGTAGCCTTTTAATTTACGCTTCCTGTAGATGGGTCGAAAAGGTAGTGCGCTGGCATTGAAGCCGTGAACGATTTCTTCTTAGTTTGGTTCCTTCACCAGTGCCCACGGAAGCAGCAATCACGACATCAAACGATATATTGCATTGGGCAAATCGGCCGCACAAGACCGTTTCAAAAAGTGTGGAAGAGCTTAGGATATTGTTTTGAAATCCTAGGTGTGCCTGACCCAAACGGTTATATATTTTTTTTTTTTTTGGTTATATTTTTTATTGGGCGCATATGCGTCGAAAGTTTGGAAGACCGTGAAAGAACTGGTGCCTTTCAATTCCGCTGTTGACAAAGATGATTGCAAGTACCCTGAACTGCTAGAACAAACAGATCTTGGATAGACTTCAGCTAGTATGCTCCTGAGAACCAAGGAGGGGGGAGACTTTGTCTCACGTACTTTGGATATGTTATCAGTAGAGAAGAACACCATGCTTGTTGGTAAGGTGGAGCAGCCGTGGAAAGCCGGGAAGGCACGTAGATTGATACATCATTGGTTGCAATAATGGGCACAAACAGCATTCATTGTGAGGAAGGCGCAAGAGCAGGCAGTGTATCTTTTTGTTGCCCATCGGCTTATTATGAGTCAATTACCAACTAACTGATCGGCAACTACAAGGGCAGGAATTGAACTGCAAGCCCATCATAGCAGCGGTTCTCAACCTGTGGGGTGCGACCCCTTTCTGGGACCCAACGACCCTTTCACAGGGGTCGCCCGATTCATAACAGTAGCAAAATGACAGTGATGAAGTAGCAAAGACTATCATTTTATGGTTGGGGGGTCACTACCACATGAGGAACTGTATGAAAGGGTCGTGGCATTAGGATGGTTGAGAGCCACTGCGCCTAATAGAAGCCGACGTCCGTGGTGCAGCTTGACTGTTCTTTAAAGCATTTTCTCCCCATTTTGCTTTCTTGTTTTTCATATGTCTATGTAGTCCAATGCTTCCATATTGTTAAAGGCACATTATATGCCTGAATCGTCCGGGCCAACCAGAGTACTACACATTTCCTTTCGTCCACTTTTCTGAGTACTTTTAACACTAATCTGATGATGGATTAATTTTTGACTGACCTTTTAAATGCTTAGGAAGCCCTTAACTTTTTCAAACTTTGCTTTAAATTTCCCCACTCCTCTGTGTGCCTAATATTGATTGGTGTGAAAACACAAGTACACGTTTCCCCCCATTGTGCAATAGGACTTTCCTCCCGTTTAGGTAGGTAGGTATGACTTGAAATTGTTCTGACACTAAATGATCATTTGGCTTAATTAGTGATCAAGTTAAAATGAAGGCTTTCAATGGTGCGTTCATTCTCTGTACCCCAAATCAGGGTCCCTGCCTGTGGGCGCTAAGTACTTGGTGTACAGATAATGTTTGTGTATAGACGCAGTAGAAGAAAAACTGTTTCTCCGTGTACTTATTCGTATACAAATTTCCAGAGAACTGTAGGTTTTTGTCCTGTGATCCTGAACTAATGCTTCCTTTGTGACCTTACTTGTAGCTTTTTAATTCCCTTGAACATGGAGAGCTGGTAAATTATGCGCGAGAATAGAAAAGGTACCAGCATCACTTTAAAACGCCTTTGCACTATCTCAGACTTCCATGGTCATAATCCAAGTACTGGTGTCTCCTCTTTTTCTTCCTTTTTGATCATTTCAGTCACAAGGTGCTACCCAAAAGTTCAGCAGTTTTGAACCCACCAGGGAGCAAATCTGTTGCCGTGAAAATCTGCCTTGGAAACCCTGTGGCGCAGTTCTATTCTGTCCTCTAGGGGCCACTATGAGTTGGAATCAACTCAATGTTAATGGGTTTGGGGGGGGGGTGGATCTTGCGTTTGCACTGCAATTGCTCAAGCCATGACCCACAGAACCCCATCTGTGCTATTGTGTATAACTGAATATGAAAACTTTCTATGGGAGAAAACTAAAACTTGAATTTTTGTATGTGAATGTATTACCGCCTCTCTCATTTAGACCACTGAAGATGTCATTCCGGGCAATGATGGCTCCCCAGATGAAGGAGCATCTAGCACCACTCAGCATGAGCAAAATGTCAATCCGGGTCAGATCAAAGACCCTCCGCAGAGTGAGCCCCCCAAGCCCAAAAGGAGGGGAGTCAAAAGAAAGGCCAAATCAGGCAAGTGGTTCTAGCTTGTAAAAGCCGAGTTTACAAATCTGCGTCTGTCTGTGTGAACATTTTAGAGATGTAAGTTATATTTGAAGCAATAATAAAATCAAGCGGTGGTTGTTGCCTTTTTTAAAATAAAATCATCACAATCATCAATAAACAAGATAAACTGACCACCCTTTTTTTTTTTAACCCAGGCAGGGCTCTGACACTAATTACCTATCCAAAGAGTCAAATACTTTGAAGGCTGGGCAGCCATTTGAGTTATTTTTTCATGTTCCTGGAGGTTTCAGATTTTCAGATGTGAGCTTTGCCTCTCCTTGCTTGTGTTTTACTTACTGATTTCCTCTTGTTCCTTAGGATGGCTTTATGCCGAAGACAGAAACACAACAAATATCTATGTGTCTGGTAGGTACACCTCCGTAAGCAGAGTTAAGGCTGGAAAAGTTTTTTGCTTCTGAGATTTTTTTACAAAGTCCTTTTTCGTCTTCAGTTCCCCCACTCTTTTTTTCTAAGTCCCATTTCTTGACCCTAGAATCACTTTAACTTTTTGGTCAGCTGTGTGCGTCAGTGAGGAATATGATCGTTGCTTATTACAGTACTAAGAAAAGCGTGCGTAACTCTCCACGCCATCCATATGGCTTGCTTTCAGTAAGTTACAGTAGCTTGACCCTTCAAGTTCAGCGATCCGAGGTTTCAGCAAAGCCTCATTTAAATGTATATTTGAATACATGGAATTTCCTCATTTCCGTAGGAGTGAGGATTTTACGAAACATTTAGAAAATCAACATAGCGCCCATCTAAGTGATACCTTTCTCCTGGGTAACCTCGCCTTTATTGCAGCTGTCATGATAAAAGTGTTTTTGGGTTTTTGTTTTTTGTTTTAAATTGATCTTATAGGATTGCCTCCAGACACTACAGTGGATGAGTTTATACAGTTCATGTCCAAATTTGGTATCATTCTGAGAGATCCTGAAACTGATGAATTTAAGGTCAAGCTTTACACAGACGATCAAGGAAACCTTTCAGGCGATGCCCTTTGCTGTTATTCGAAGGTTAGTTATGCGGTCAAGTTAAATTTCTCATTTAACTTGAGAAACCAGGAAGTGTTACATCAACTCCTACTCATGGTGAGTCCGGGGTAGCAGGTAGAACTAGAACCGTCTTCCCGAGGACCGTCCGTGGTTGCTTTATCAGAACCAGTTCTTTCTTCCAAGGCATCTGTGGCTGGAACCCAGGAACCGGGGCTGTAAGCTTTGATAAACTGACCAGCAGAACTATTCAAATCAGGATAGAAAGAAAACTGAAAATTCAGCTTTTGTCTGTGTGTATTATATTGGTAAGGCTAGTTCCTTAGGTCAAAATAGTGTTGTATGCGTTACATATGATATATATTTATATATATATATATATTTTTTTTTTCTCAGAACACTTTTTTTTCCCTTTAATCCCCAAACTAGCGATAAAAGCTTATAGCATACATTGGCCCATCAGAATGAATCAGACCCAAGTTTGGCAAGCTCTGGTGGCCCGTTTTTGTAATTCAAGTGTTTGGTGGGGAAACATAAGCAACCCCATGCATTCAATGAGGTATCGGTCTGCCGAGGTGTGTGCACTTCAGTGGCAGAGTATTTGCAGCATGGACTGTATGGTTTATAAAACCTAGAATAGCTACTAACTGGCTCCTTACAAAGGAGCCCTGGTTGACCTAGTGGGTAGCACTTTGGGGCTGTTTACCGCCAGGTCAGCAGTAGGAAGGAAACCTTACCAGCTGTTCCACAGGGGAGATACAAGTTTACCTGTTCCTGTAAAAATGCACAGCCTTGGAAACCCACAGGGTCAGTGCTATCCTGTTGTATTGTAGTGGGAATCAACTCGGTGGCAGTGAGGTTGAGTTCGGGCTCTTTACTAATAAAGTGTATTGAGCCCTGAATGAGAATATATAAAGGAGATGATGTTACCTTACACGTGTTTTGAGAATACCATATATGCTCAAGTATAAGCTGAGTTTTTTCAGCACATTTTTCACGCTGAAAAAGCCCTCCAGTTTTTTTGTGGTAAAATCAGGTGCCCCGGCTTGTACTCGAGTATATACGGTAGGAAAGAAGAGACTAGTGCTAACAGAAATGTTCCGATCTTCCTGTAGTCATGGTCCCATGCTCCCACGGGGAAAACTCAATACCAAAGGCAGTCATCATTTCTAAATCACCTGGCACCTTAAAATGTATGTTTTGCATTAGTGCAGGGTACAAAAGATGTGATGCTGACCCAAATGTGTCATCAAAATTCACTACCATTGAGTCGATTCTGACTCATAGCTCCCCTATGGGGCAGAGGAGAACAGCCGCATAGGTTTCCAAGGCTGTAGATCTTTATCTTTCTCCCACAGAGCAACTGGTGAGTTTGACCATCTGGTCCTTAGCAGCCCAAATGCTGAGCCTATTATGCCACCACAGATCAAAACAAGAGTAGGATGAAGTTGGTAGCTTTCTGGAAAGTAGAAATTTTTTACCTGGGTCTCCCACATGGTGGGAATTAGAGGACCATTATAGGAAGACACTTGTCCAGTGCTCAGATATGAGGAATCTGGGGTTTTTTTATAAGTTCTTCGAGGCTGATTAAAAATCTGTAAGCAACAATTAATGTGTGTATGGATTGCGCTAACAGTTGTATGAGCCCCTAATAAAATGTTTAAAAAAAAATAAAAATAAAAATCTGTAAACAGATTTGATTGGATTTTAAGCTTTTTGTGAAGAAAAAAAAATGATGTTGCGGAATTCCATGTGTGCAAGTTGCCAGATTGGCAATTCAGTAACTTGAGTTCCAAAAGAATAAACTTTATTCTTCCAGAATCCATATTTGATGTGCTCCCGTAGGTTCGTTCGCGTGCCCTTTTGTGAGTTCCCTGGGTCCACAGAGCTTGGACCCTGCTTTGGATGGGACTCTGAATCCACAAACGTGCTTCACGAACAAGCTATCAACTCATCACCTTTGACCGTTCAGCAGGGCTAGAATTCATTTGGTTTGGCAAAAGCAAACACACACAATGTAAAGGCCACCTCTGTTAGTCCTATTTCTTTGAGTAATTTGTCTTTTCAGTTGGAGTGTCATGGGGTTTTAAAATGGTACTGGGCCTTCAGATATCCTGCAAACCCACCACCTCATTCAACAGATAAAGGAATTCAAGTTCCAGAGGCCAACTTGCTTTTCCAATAACCGTAGATTTTATTGCGCACCCACCCCATGCCAGAGAATATCTTCCATTGGCTGCATGAGTCCATATGCCACCCGCTCTGCTCCCCTCATTGTACAGAGGAGGAGGCTGAGGGCTCAGGGCACTTGCAGACCTGGCCCTAGTTCTCACCGCTGGTGAGGGATAGCTATGAATCCAATGCAGGTGTCCGGACCCTCGCAGTTGGGTTTAAATACATTTTTTTGTGCGTGGTCATGAATCACCGAAAGAAACTCCTGAAGTTTCATCTTGACATCTGACTTAGTGACTTTTTTTTTTAATTGACCTTGACAAAGAGAGAATCTCTGCAGCGCGTGTTAACGCATTTGGATGAAGATCACTTCAGAGGACACAAATTACAAGCCGAGGTGGCAGCGCCTCAACTGGTGGAGGAGTATGAGGCCTCAAGTAAGAAGCGGGAAGAGGACAAGACTCAGCCGGAGCAACAAAAGTGGGTATTGCATTTTGCCCTCTTTGAAAGCTTTTGTATAAATGTCTTGAAGCCTTTCTTTTTAATAGCCATCTCATTTTGCATCACCTAATCTGCCTACAAATTACTTGAAAGGAATCTAATTAGATAATTGGAAGATTTCCTTATAGATATGGCCAGGGTGACTCCGCAGTAGTGGCGGTTATCATCGGCTAAGGTGTGTAATGTAGTATAACCAGGTTGCGAGAAGTCATCTCTTTGACTACTGCTGGATATCCGATTAGACAGATCTGTAAGTTCGTGTTCAGTGTGGATTGCAATCAACTCCCAACACAGTCCACTGACATCGAGTTGATTTCAACTCACAGTGACCCTGTAGCCCACTACACCACCAGGGCTCCCACGGCAACAGTGGCAGGGGCAACCGTTCTGTGTACGGGACTGTTAGTAGGTGGTAGAAATGAGAAAGCATAGGTTTTATCATGTTAATTGCCCTGCAGTGAAAGATAGTAGATCCACAATGTAGTCATTTTGTTGATGAAAAGATTTGTGTAATAAACTTTAAATATGCTAATTTTAAGAAATTAAGAAAATCTTTTAATTAAAAAAAAAGAAAGTAGGCAAGACGATAAGTCTTTTTGGAGGCGTGAGCTCTCAGGACACGTCTAACAATAGTATGCTTAGGGGGAAAGGAACAAGGTTGTGATGCCTCCCAGTTTCGACACAGTTATATTCCAAAACAGGTACCTACAAAGTTCTCCAAGCAATACCAGTAAAATTTAAGATTGTAATAAAGCATGAGGATTTTCATATTCCACACCTATTTCAGCCTGGTTTGTTTCTTTGTCACCATATAAAATGCCTAAAACCCAAATACAATATTTAAATTTTTTTAAGCCTCAAATGATATCTTTTTTAAAAAGTCATAAATATCAAGAAATTAACTTTCGAGAGTTTCCTTGAAATCAGAAACCAGTTGTTCTGAGAACAATGTATTCTGGGAGTTTCAGATACTGGGTCCATTATCATCATGAAATATTCAAAATTGAAGGATTATATTAACTGCCCTCCTTTCTTGCGTTCTCCCATCCCATTGCAATCAAGTCGATTCTGATTCCTGGAGACCCTATGGGGACAGGAGAGAGCTATCCCCATAGGGCTTCTAAGGCCATAAAATCTTTGGGGAAGCAGCAGACTGCCTCATTTTCTCTCACGGAGAAAACAAACCAACCTTTCTGTTACCAGCAGAGTTCTTACCTGCTGCACCACCAGTCCTCTTTTCTCTCTCCAATAAGTGCCCGCAAATAAGAAACAAAAGTCACAGTTTCTTGTTATTGCTATCTTGCAATAGGCAGTTGGATCTGAGTGCTGAGAAGAAAGCTGGACAACCCCGAATGCGCCATGAGCGAGTTGTCATCCTCAGAAATGTGTTTCAACGTATGGACTTGGAGGTAGGAAGTGGGTCTCCTACCTGCCATGTTTTCTTTTCAAGGGATTGCTAAGCTTGCCTTGCCTCATCATTCTCCGGCCCCTATTCATACTTGAATGTGGCAGGGACATGGCTTTCTTTTCTTCAGTCCAGTAGAGCCGTCTTCTAGTGACTCTTCAGCATCCATCCGGTGGCCCCAATAGCTACTGCTTGATATGGAAAACAACTTCTTTTAAATCATGCAAAGATGTGTGGGAGGTGCTAGTGGATTTTTGAGAACAGTTCGCATATGGGCTGATGTGGGTGACGAGTACCCATTTCACCCTGGCGAATGCAAACTGCTTTGGCACCCAAAGTTTGATCCTTTGGAAGAACCTGAATTTCATGAAATTCAGCCCCTGCTTTTGACATAGTGGGGATTGGTTTTCAGGACATCATTTTCTTCACCATCTTTTGTGGCTCTTGGGAGGATTTTATAATGTTTAATGTCCGTGCTTTAACACAAAAAGGTCGCCTAAACAGTAAATAGAGGGGAGAAAGCTAGTCGAGAGGCTTAAGGGATATTCATTTCCATTAAGGTAATTGCATTCTGCCTGCTATTTCTTTCTTTCTTTTTTTTTTTTTTTCCTGCTATTTTTTTTCTTTTTTTTTTTAAATTTTATTAGGGGCTCATACAACTGTTATCCCAATCCATACACACATCAATTGTGTAAAGCGCATTTGTACATCGTTTCTCAAAACATTTTCTCTCCATTTAAACCCCCGACATTAGGTCCTCATTTTCCCCCTCCCTCCCCGCTCCCCCCTCCCGCATGAGCCCTTGAATTTTTATATGGGTATTTTGTCATATCTTGCCCTGTCCGACTTCTCCCTTCATCCACTTTTTGGTTGTCTGTCCCCCAGGGAGGAGGTCACACACAGTTCCATGTAATTGGTTCCCTCTTGCCTGCTATTTCTTATCTCTGTCTTGACACAGGCTGATATGATCATCAGTAGAAAAACGGTCTTTTTAAAATTATCTGCCCAGTTTCTGAAATGCAATGATAGCTATTTATGTGATGAGAAAAAGCATATTCACGAATCTCCAAGTTATCAACGGATTCTTTTTGAAAACAAAGCCCATTCCCATTCCTTGGATGCATTAAGATAGGGTCAAAGTGGCTATTACGTTAGCCCCCTCAGAGAGGGACCAATTCAGCCGCAGACGGAACACGACTGAAGCGGTTCTCAGAAGTGAAGGTGTGCAGACATCATCTTACGTTGCCCATGTCATCAGGAAAGTCCATTTTCTAGGGAGGCCCATCATTTTGGGCAAAGTTGAGGGGCAGTGAAAATGGAGGGAAATTCTCATGGCGATAGATGGGTACAACAGCCTCAGCAGTGAGTGCAAGCAGCACAGACCACGGAGATGCCACGGGACAAGCAGTGTTTCACTCTGTTATGCGTACGGTTGCCTGAGTTGAAGCTGACTTGGATCTGTTGCGTTCCATCTAGTCAGTGCTGTGATAGGACTTACTGGTGCATCTCTGGAGCTGAGCATGGTTTGAGGTCATTGGGAAGATATACTCCATCGATTTATAAGGTGGCTTGGTGCTTCTGTGGGCTCAAAATCCTGACGAATCTTGAAATATCACCGAGGCTTTAGACTCACAGTGAAGATGAAGCACGTTTAAAGCACACCCGCCACTCTTTGGAAATGCAATCCTTGTCACTAAAAGGAGTGCATGAGGGATCACAGTCTCTAGTTTATCAGTGACACCCCCAGGGCTTCCTACAGTTTGTCACATCTTGGTATATGTGTGATTTGTTTATCAGGTAACAGATGAGGCATTTGAGGGGGTTTCAAAAACTTCCAGACAAAATAGAAGGAAAAGATACTGGGATTTCCCCCACAAACTCCCAGTATCCCCATTGCATTTCTTTTGCTTGAGGCCATTGCTTCTCACATTCCATACGCTTGCGAACACTTGAACCCCACTAGAAGGGCAGACAACAGAGCCATTCTCATGTCTACCTCCTACCATGCCGTTAGCATATCTTGTTGAGTATGGCGATCCCCCTGGCAAGCTTACCTTCTCCTGGTTTACCAAGCATTCTGTCTGCCCCCCCTCCTACCCCACCCCACCCCCCAAACCACATGTATTCTACTTTTACCCCTGAAAGGTCCCTCCGGGAACTATTTTTGAGGATAAACTTTTCACACTTGCACATTCTTGATTATTTTTTTCTTAAACTTAAGGATTTATTGCTCTCCTTTCCCCCCCTTCATGGATTATTTTGTAAAATAATTTGATCACTACTAGAATGTGAGCCGTGTGAGAGCAAAAACTCCTGCAACCTTGATCCCTGCTACATTCCCAGTGCTTAGAATTGTGTCTGGCTCCCGGTGGACCCAGACCCTCAATATTGAGATGAATGACACGGCACAGAATAGTGGAATGAAACTCCTGTTAGCTCACAAGCCAATCTTCTTCATTCATCTATATTCTAGTGGCTGAACCATTTTCTCTTTAGCATCTTTGCAAATGAAGGCAGGTTCTGTGCCTGGTTGTTTTCTGTCCCCAGACAGGTAGGCCACAAAAGAGGGTAAGTACTCTGCCTGGCATTAATGAGTGAGAATTCCCAGCCAAATAAATCCTAGGTGGTCCTCTTCTTGTTTGCCCTTCTCTTTTATCCTATGTGGTCCCATTAGTTTGACGAGGGACTACGAAACAATCTTATTCATTTGGTGTCTTTGTAGCTTAGACCTCAATGTGTATCAAGATACTCAGAGTGTGCTATCCACCATCGTAGTAGCTCTTTGTTACCTAGGCTATCGAGATGTCCAATCATATCCCACCATGTAACCTGTTCTCAAAGTGTTCAACAATAGCACCTCCTTTCATTGGACAGTTCCACTGAAGATTCCTTGAAAGCTTAAAGAAAAGACACCAGCATTTTTTAGTGGAAAACAAAACTGAATCGTCAGTTTATGTGGAGTATTAGAAAAAAAATCAGGGTTGGGGAGTGGAATATATTTTTATTCCAAGAAGTTAACAAACATTGGAGCGACATACCTCAAAACAGTTGTTGGTATCAGGGTACACATGACTAGTATGTTAAATGTGACCTCAAGAAGGTTCTTTGATATTTAATTTGGAGCTATATTTTTAAAATGCAAGGCCTGGCAAATTTGAATGCTAAGAGATGAAGAATTCGAACTCCAATGCAAAGGCAGGTGTCTCATTGTGTATGGTAGAAATATAATGGGAGCTACATGTTGAATTTAAGATCCCTGAGTTGCGGCAACAAAAAGATAATGTGCAATGGGTGAGATAAATTTCAATTCATTTTGTTTAACTCACATCACCATATCATTTCAACGCGTAATCAGTATAAAATATTCATGAAATATTTTGTAATTGTTTTTTGTACCAAGTCTTCAAACTCTGCTGTGCCTGGTGTGCCTAGCATACGCCTCAATGTGGGCTAACCACACTCCAAGTGCTCAATAGACATAGATGGCTAACAGCTACAAGCGGACAGTATAGGTATCAATGGGAGAAGAAGGAGAAATAAGGCTTATTTCTTCCACTGGGAAAGACACAAAACACCACCCTGGGAAAAACCATTATGAGCAGAGGGTTTCTGGGCATTCGTGTGTCTGCGTTTACTCTCCGGTGTGACTTTTGGGAGGTTGTGTCTTTAGGAGTGTTCTCGGTGGAGCTAGGTGAAGGGGTCTTCATAAAGGGAAGGCTCATTTAGTCAGCTTTAAGTTTCTCAAGCCGACATAATGAAAGCAGAGATCTGAGAAGACTTTGGCTAAGGTTTAATATCCTTGTCAAAAAAAAAGACCCGAGAGATTGGTAAATCAATAAAGGAGATGTCCTTCCATGACCCATGCTTCAATTGAAAAAAATGTTTTAAAGCTTTTGAAATGATTTTTATTTTAAATATCATCCTGATTTCCCCCGGGTGAGGAAAATAGAAGTATTGGAGATAGTTTCTCAGTTTGCGAAGATGGTTTTACCTGATTGTTTATGCAAAAGACTGGGCTCTGTTCTGAGAAGAGATAGCAGTTCAGTAACACAAGATCCCTGCCCTCCGAAGCCACCCCCTTCCACCCGCACCAAGGCCACCCCCCCACCCCCGCTGCAAGCAAAACAAAAACTCTTCCACCAAATGTGTTTTAGGTTCCACTCCCACTCCGCTCAGGTCTGATAATTCTATAGAGTGCAAGTCAGTGGTGTCTTCAAAATTAGGTTCCATATGTGTGGCGAATCCAGAATGCTGCCAGTCACAGTTTGAGAAGCCTTGGATTTGTTGTGCACATGAATAGGATTTTATAGTTTTCTTTCAAAATTGGATTTCGGTAACTACCTAGCAGTTGTTCGAATTTGGGGGGGCAAGCACTTAGGTGTTGGGCGTGTGTGTGTGTGGGGGGGGTGGCTGACCGCTCTTTTTTAGTGCTTTGTAATTCCTCTTTTGTTTGGTGAGTGAGAACACAAGCCTGTGATAAAAAAGTAGAAGAATTTTAAAAGTGTTAAGTCTTCTGCCTTAGAAATTCTAAGACAGAATAGCCAGATTTCCATTTGTTTGTCATTGAAATTCAAGTTGAGAATGCAACCTTTTAAGAGCCCCTTTCATGAAGTCAGAGCCTGCTGTTGGTGGTGGGCTGGTGGGCGGAGAGAGAGGTTGAGGGCCCACCTGAAGTCCACACAAACCAAAGCAGGGGGCTTGCGTGCTCTTCATAGACGCGTGGCTGTGCCAGAGTATTTCCTTGTGCACCTCATACCAGCTCCTTATTTTGATGCTTTCGCTTTGGTAGGCTTTGATGTCTAGGAGCCAAGAACCCTGGGGATTCAAATACAATCTCAGAGGCATGGAAAAAAACACATCGTAGAACATTTTGTGAAGGGGATAAAGATTAGGGTTTCTGTTCCTTAGATACCCGTGGCATTTCTTTACGCTCCCCTCCATTGCTTGAAATGTCTTCTCAAAAGGCAAAGCTAAGGGCTCTCATCCGCATCCTCATGCTCCCTGTGCAGGACGTCAGAGCAAGCAGCCTCTGACTTGGATGTGCCACGGGCCCTCTTCTGCCCTGACAGCTGCTGCTGTTGAGGATTTCCACGCATGCTCCCCTCCCTTCTCCTTTGCCACCAAAGACTCCCACTGCCTCCGGCCATGCCTGTCTGTTTTCTCAGTCTTGAAGCAGGGAAGACCTGTCGTGGTGGCAACTGCAGCAGCCTTGGTGGTGCAATTTCATTTGATTTGGGGAATTAAAAGAATATTCTTCTACACTTGCGGATAAACTTTAAAGGAAACCTTTTGCTTTTAACTTCTTGTTTGGTCAAGGCAAGACAATCGATGCCTGGGATTCACATTCAAAGGAAGGGGCAAATTGATCTTAATCATATGTGTTTTTGCAGGGTGATCCAATGGTGTTAAATGAAATCAGAGGCGACCTGCGAGTGGAGTGTGCCAAATTTGGAAAGATTAAGAAGCTCACTCTGTTTGATGTAAGTTCATGGCATGGAAAATTAATCCCACAGCAAGCAATCATTCAGCTTAATAAGCAATCCATTACAAGATGTCCGTTAGGGTGTCTCCAGATTGTAAATCAATGACAGTATGTTTGGTACTGAGCGGCAACCATCTGCTCTTAGTAATTAGATGGCCCATGCTAAACTTGGGTGATTTGATGAGTTTCCTTTATTGTTACTATAGAACACTTGGTCAATAGAAGAAAGTGCAAGAAAAGCATGAGTTGCTTTTTCCCAGTCTGCCCATCTTTTGCCCTCATTGCGAACACTTTGAGCTAGGTAGGTAGGTCCTAGGCTACCCAGTTTTCAGAGGAGGAAGCTGAAACTTTCAGAGCATAAGCACCGTGCAGAAGACTACCTGCCTTCAGCATCCACACTCTGAACCATTATATTGTTTGGCTCCCTAAGCAATGTTGTCATCAGAAACATTTCCAAGGACACCGTGTTTCATTCTTGTCAGGCAAGATTAAGCTAGAGAAGCAATTAGCTACATATCACTGACTGAGGTAGAAGGAGGAGAGACTTCATAGCTTTAGTTCAAGTTTTTTGTAAGAACATTATGTATTTACCTTTTCAACTGTGTGTTTGATTTTTAACTCTCATTTATGCCCCCTCCCCCCTTGGTCTCTCTCTTTTTTTTCTTTTAAGAAACACCCTGATAGCATGGCCTCTGTGCGCTTCAGAAATCCAGAGGATGCCGATGATTGCGTTCAAAACCTTGATGGGAGGTGGTTTCGTGGCCAAAAAATCACTGCTGAAACATGGGATGGGACTACTGATTACCAGGTAAACCTGTACCTGCTGTGGGCAGATGAATTATTTGATGACCTCACAGACCTGGTTTGATTTAATCTACCTAAGATAACAAGACTTATTTCAAAGAATACCTTGCATTCAGAGGCTAGAAAGAAAAATGTTTCCATATTTCAGTTTATACACATGAAATTTTGAGGCTTTCTCGAGTGATAAGTAAGCAAAGAACGTTTCAAGCCAAGACATGCTTCTGCCTTTCCGTGTTACAGAGTACAGACAGGGCTCAAATATTAACTTTTGAAGAAATGAGGCATTTCTGTAGTTCCACGGTAGATTTGTTTCTTTCAGTGACCTCATATTAGGCCAACTATGATGAATCAAGATGGAAACTCAAGATTGGGAGCTGTTTTGATCGCCTCAGAAGAGGTGCCTTAGAAAGGCAGAGTCGTATTCTCCATATTAGAAATGTTCTGAAAAGTTCACTTCTTTTCGCCTGAAAACTATTTCAATGGCAATGTTCATTTATACCTAGGTGGAGGAGACCACAAGAAAGAGAGAAGAGGAGAGCTCAAAAGTGATGGAGGCATGCCCCCCTGAGCCAGAGGCCAACGCAGGCTCCGGGCAGCTGAATCTTGCCAGCACTTCAAAAAGTGCAAGGCCTTCTACTCGAGTAAGGCATTTTTCAGAGCACCCTGCCACTTCTCCCATGAATGTAGCAGGTGACATGGCACCTGAAGGGCCTGGAGCGGAAAAGAAATCTGAAAAGCCAGAAGAAGAAACTTCTGAAGAAGAGTCTAAAGCAGGCAGCATCCAGGAAGAGTCTGAAGAAGAGTCCGAGGAAAGCAGCTCCGATACTGAGTCGTCTGAGGGAGGCTTCTGGGAAAGGGTGTCTGATGAAGGCGACAAGGAGCCGGGAAATAATGATGCTGGAAAAGAACCCCTGAAGAAGAAATTCCGCAAATGTTACCCAGAGAATCGCCTTAGAAATAAGTCTGACCAGGACGGGGCTGAGAAGGGTTCCGAAGATAAGAATGACCCCCCAAAAGAATCTGAAGCTGACTTGGAAAAAGAAGAAGAACACAGCCCTGCAAACCAGGAAGCTGCCGACTCGGAGAACGATGAGGAAGAAGAGGATCTCGAAATGGAAATAGATGAAGATGAGTGTGTCAAAGAGTTAAAGAAAATTCTTGAGAAAGAGCTGCAAGATTTGGAGAATGCTGAACTGGAAGACGATAGCTCAGACAAGGAGTTGGATGAGGAAAGTTCTGAGACCGAATTTAAAGAAGTTGAAGAAAAGACAGAAGAGGACGGCGACGACAATGTCTTTGATGATAAGGCAGGGGAAAAAGAGGATGAAGACCAAGCAGATGCAAAGGGGCCTGAAGATGCTGGGGATCAGGAGGAAGATGAGGCAGGGGGAATGCTCTCTGAAGATTCAGAAGAAAAGAAAGATGAGGAAGATACTGCTGGAAATGTGCTTGGAGACGCTGAGTTGTTTGATGAGAATCCTGATGAGAAAAGTTTTCTGAGTTACCCTGAAAATCCTCAGGAGGAAGCGCCCGTGTCCATAGGCAGCAGCTTTGTCCTCAGTAGCGATGATGATGATATTTAATCCCTTTAACTTGCTTTTTCAGGAGAAACCATTGTCTTAAATTTGCCTCTCCTTCAGGGTCATCACTTGGCAGTATGACACTAACACACGTGTAGTGGTGGGATGCCATCATAGTAATGCACTGGCATTTTCCTTCTTACCTCGACTTAATTTAAATATGTGCTCATGTGTTCACTTGAAAGTTGAGTCAGAATACAATCAAACTAGATACGTTTTATTTTGCCAGATTGGTTAAACACATGCAGAATAATTTTTTTAAATGTATTCTGACAGAAATTTGTGATATTCCAAAATCAAAATAAGTGGCTAATCTGCGGAAACAGAAAATTGGATTTGAGTGAAATTGTGTTGGAAATTTATGCTATTGGTTTCTTCCTATTGAAGCATGATGCTACGGGGACCTTCAAATTCTTTGGGAGTATTCCTGCTTCCAGTTTGTTACTGCATAGCCCCCCACGTCCCCTCTCTGAACCACAACGGGTTGTGAAACTTACAGATAACCCTTCGAAGTTTCTCCCCTGCCCAATTCCTGCAAGCTGGTGTTGTTTGTTTTCTTTTCTACCTCTTTCTATGAAAATATACTCTTAGATGTGCAAAAGTGCAATCCACCATTTCCATCGTTGTTGAAAATGTCGGGGGGAAACTAGAATTGTATTGTGTACTGTTACTGAGCCTTTGGGGGGTCCCTCTTGAATTTGATCAAGATTATGAAATTTCTACACACACACACACCCCCATATACATGCACACACATTCTGTAATGTGTCTGACATATATGAGGATTGCGTAACTTCTTAGGTGCACAGTCTGAGGCTCATGGATCTCCTGAAGTTTAAGATCTTTTTTTTGTATGACTTAACTTTGGTGTTTGGCTTTCTGTTTTAGAACCACAGTGCCTCATGCAATGCTACGGTGTGTAGCCCCAATAGAAATTAGGGCTCTTTTCTGGAGTATGCTTTTCTAAATTCTGTAATGGTGAGCTTAATTCTAAGGTTGAATGAAGATGTTATTCTCATTTCTTATAAGCATTAAAATAAACTGCGTTGCTGCATTTCACTATAGTGTCTTGGTGTAGTCATTGCTCTCATTGGACAGAAGAGTTCCTGCCTTGGTTCTGAGAAGTGTTGGATTGATCTGTAGAATGCCTTAAAATCTTCAGGATTGTCACCAGGGGTGATTTCATAAAAGAGGCAGATGAAGTTACATACAGAAAAATGACAAAGGAGAACAAGGATTACTTTGGGGTTCAGTCCACCAGCATTCAAACACTTTAGGGGATAACTGGTTTTCTCAATGAAAAGGATGCTTACCTTCTGCACACAGCTGTTGGGACTGGTGACTACAAATGTACATTCCAGGATCATCGGAAGTGGGTCCATTTCTTTATATTAAAATTTGTAAGTTTAGAAATCTAGAAAATGTCAAAAGACAATAAACCGTATACAGTTTAGTCTGTTTCAGATACTAGCCACTACCTTGCTATCCTTTGACGATGTACATTCCTAAGACTGTCATAAAGGTTCACTAGTGTCTAGGCCACACTGCCTGAAACAGCATTACCAAGTCTGGGATGGGGACATGTTCCTGTGAATGTGCCCGTGGTGGGCAGGCAGGTGTGTATGTCAGAGAAAGACAAATTGCACCTCTGAAAGATGCTGCCACATGTGCTGATCTCTCCCCACCTCACGAATTTGATATCAAATCCTGTTCTTGACACACAAACACACTGGAAGTGAAAGTCACAAGTATCTGTAAAGTGATAAATCATTTAGGACAGCGGTTCCAGACCCTCAACGACCTTTCACCAGGGTTGCTTGATTCATAACAGTAGCAAAATTACAGTGATTAAGTAGCAACAATTATTGTTGGGGGTCAACAACATAAATTTTATGGTGGGGGGTCACCACAACATGAGCTGTATTAAAGGGTCGCGGCATTAGGAAGGTCGAGAACCACTAATTTAGGAGATGATATTGGTAAATAACAGGAACTACAAATCAAGCACTTTCCACACATGCTTACTAAGCAATAGGGTTTTATTGCCCCCTGTGAAAGGATGTGTGTGTGAGGGGGGGGGGCACATCAAAAGAAAAATGCATGCTAAGCAACCCCATCCTCAACAGTTAGCTGACAGAATTTCTTAAGACAAGAATTTAAAAGGGCCCGGGTGGTGCCATGGGTTAAGCATCAGGCTGCTAACCAAATGGTTGATTGCAACCCACTAGCTGCTCCGTGGGCGAAAGATGAGGCAGTCTTCTTTTGCAAAGATTTACAGCCTCTGAAACCCTATGAGGCACTTCCACTCTATCCTATGCAAGGAGGACTAGGATTTCTACTCCCGTAAAGTTAGCTTTGGAAACCCACAGGTCACTATGAGTCAGCATTGACCCTGAGCGAGAGCGAGATAGGGTTGCATTGAGTCTGATGACTCCACAGCAGGCACATTTTTTGGCGATGACATAAATTATGCCTAAACAATTTACCAAACCTAAAAAAATAAAATCTATTCCCCACTACTGTGTAGTCCATTTCTAACTCCTAACGACCCTGGAAGTCAGAGTAGACTTCCGTTGGTTTCTGAGGCTGTAAATCATGGAAACCGACTGCCTCATCTTTCTCCCACAGAACAGTTGGTGGGTTCAAAGAAGAATGCGTACTATATTCCACTCAATGCATGAGCTGGAAGCGGCTTCAGGGGAGGAGGGGAGTTTGAGACAAATGACCTGCTCTCAGTCAGGACACAGTTTGCTTTCTTAGGAACAAACTTGAAACAATGATAAAAATCGTTACTCCTTCCCTACAGAGAAGCCTGATAGGACAAAACGGGAACACTATGTTCCAAATACCTCAGTTGTCCGTCCCTCCCTTCTCTGGTGACCGTAACTCTGCTTATTCTGAAGAATTCCATCCATTTGGAAGCCTCAGCCTCTTCCTAGTCTGCGCGGCAGCCATTTTCCTGCCGTCAGCTATTTGGGGATTTTTGCGGGGCTTGGAGGAAAGGTAGGAACTAGTAAATATTCTGATCACACCTTTAAATAACAGAAGTGTAATTGTAAAAATTCGTTTTGACAATTAAACCAAACCTGTCAAGAACTGCTAATAAATTAGCTTGAACAAAGTAAAGCCTGAGTGGAGAATGGTGGAAGGTGGATTATTTAACATGGGAATGTTTAAAAGGGGAATATTTAACATGTCTTGTTAGCACCAAGATATTGTGAACTTACTCTTATGGATTTTCCCCCTATTGGGCAGTTTTCCTCTGTCTGGTAGGGTAGCAATGTATCGTGATTGACTTGGTGGCAGTGGGCTTTGGTTGATCATAGACATTAACAGAAAATATGAGATAAATGGATGTGCATGAGAGGAGAGGATGATCGCAGGGTTGAGGAGGACATTTCAGTGGGAGAGATGTTATCACGTGACTTTGAGGCAACTCAACTGACTAATGCAAGTTATAGAACAGGCCAGGTCATGTGACCTGCATAGTTTCTGTTTCTCACTCTACCAGGCCATAACACATTTCCTACTTTTGTTTGGGGGAAGGGACTAGATTGGAAGTGGGTTTGTGCAGAACTAACGACCGCAAAGACTGGCACAGGACTTGGGGAGGCGCTCATCCTGCTATAGATCATAAGTGTGACCCAACCTGATGGTGACTAACAACAGCAATCTGCTAAAAGTAGCCTGTTTGATGGCCCCGATCAATTCAGAAGCGGGTGTCCCATCCCATGCGGATGCCCAGAAGTACTTAATAGGGAAAACAAAGGGCCTGGAAAACGTGGGCGCCCTGCAAATGCAGGTGAGCAAGGGACCTAGTGGGATGTAGGCATCAATGTGAATGTGACCTCTTTTGAACCTCCAGACCTCTGAGGCTCTGGTCAAGTAGAATGGTCTTGGGTCAGGGCTTGAACTAGAGCACACGAGAGGATCCCCTGTAAGGTTAGAGAAAACACTAGCTCCCACACCCAGAGACGTGCTTCTGGGGCCTGAGATTCTGCAGTTTGAGGACGCTCCAAGAGTTGGCTGCTGCTACCAATCCAGAGGCTACATTTTGAGGATTCATGGCTCAGGTGCCGTGATGGCAGTCTGGCGGGGGAACAGTGGGGAGTGCTTCATTCTCCATGGAGAAGGCAAGAAAGCTTCTTAGCAGTGAGCTGCTAAGACATAGAAGCGCTGGTCAGGTCAGCAGTGACAAGAGAGGCGAGGCATTTACTTGTTCATTTGGGCAGCAGTTCAAGCTAAAGTGATTATATGGTGCTCGACCATCCTTAATGAACTGTAAGGAACACACTGGCTATGCTGCCAACTATTGCCCAGAAATGCTCATTTGAGGTAATGCTGTTTAATAAATGTCTTTGCTTTACCAAATACACATAATCGAGAAAAAGCTTGAACTCTGCTTGGCCATTTCTGTACTATGCATTTAGATCGTGCGTATCCTAATTCATTTACAAAACTGAAAAAATGGAGGGATAGGGGTGTGTTTTGTTTCCTACCATCAAATAAAATAGATTTTAAATAAATATTGCAGACAAGTAATCACTAGGTTTTTTTGGTTTATTTAATCATCTTATTGGGGGCTTGTACAACTCTTATCACAATCCATAGATCCATCCATTATGTCAAACACATTTGTACATTTGTTGCCATCATCATTCTCAAAACATTTGCTTTCTACTTGAGCCCTTGATATCAGCTCCTTGAACAATTTTGTTTTGCTCATTTTAATAACCTCAGGCTTTGCTCATTCGATGAAGAAAAAAATGCACTGTAGCACTCTATACATTGGAATTCTTTAGTTTAATTCTTTAAACAAACAAAGATCAACAGTGTTATCCATCTCTGGAGGATTGCATTGATGAACAGTGTTTATGTTGAAATTTTACAGCTGGCTTGTGGTGACCTTTGTAAATGTTCACTTTGTTAAATTCAGGCTTTTAATAAAATTTATTCTGAAGAAACACTATAAATATATATGACATTTTAATACCAAACCCACTGCCATCAACTTGATTCCAACTAATAGTGACCATAAAGGACAGAGTAGCTCCTTAAGGTTTCCATACTAAAAAAAAAAAAAAAAAAGGTTTCCCATACTGTGACTCTAGAGAAGCAGACAGCCTCGTCTTTCACGTACGTAGTGGGTTTGATTCATTGACCTTGTGCTTAGCAACCAAAGGGGTAGCCCACCATGCCACCAAGGCTCCTATGGAAACCAAATCCACCTCCATTGGGGCAAAGTAGAACTGCTCCATTAAGTTTTTGAAACTTTTAACAGAGTTTGTTGAAAAACAACAACCAAACTCACTGCCATTGAGTCAATTCTGACTCATAGCGACCTTATAGGACAGGCTAAGATTCTCCATTTGAGTTTCAAAAACTAGCTCTTTAAGGGAATAGAAAGTTTCAGCTTTTGGTCGCCCACATTGCCCTCCAGGAATGCTGGAGTCATTTGCGTTCACATCTACAGTGTCCCAGAGGGTCTGGCTCTTTGATATTTTTGTTAATACAAGGCGTTATGGATCTTTTAACTATATGCCAATCTGATAGTTGAAAATGATATTTTCATCCATATACTCCTAATGATACTTGTTGACTTTCGACAGTTTTAAATTTTGGTTATTCGTAGCTTTTACTGAGTTTTCTATTGTGTTGGGTTCCTTGCTCTGATGATTTGTCGTTATTTTTATATTATGGATAAGAACCATTCATTCTAAGTACTACACGTATTTCTCTCAATCGGTCCTTCAGCTGGTGACTGCGTGTTGGTTTTCTGTGTCCTTTGGGAACTCTTTGTCCTTCTGATTCTTGAGGCTCATGTCACACTTAGGAAGGCCTTCTCTACCACAGTATCATATGGATTGTGTTATACTTGTGCTCTGACTCAATATTATATCTATTGTGTTATCCCATATATTAAATATATTTGTATTCTTCTAGTGTTTCATTTTAGATTAATCTTTTATGTTGGTAACTTTAACCATTACGGTCTTTACTTTTGTATGTAGTATGAGAAACAATTTGAAGTGGCAGGAGTGCGAACTCTGTTGTAGATA